ATTTCCAAATTAAAATCTTATCAGTTCTCATTTAGAGCATTGTCAAGTTTTGCATATCGCACATGCCCACACAATCAATTCCTTGTCATCATCATTATTTATTCGTCACAAGAGGTTAATAACATGTCAGAACAAACTATCACTTGGGCACTTCTCGACGCAAGAAAAAAATTTCATGTGCTGGCAGACCCATAAAAATAATGGTGAGTTTTCTTGGATAAGTCTTTGTACAATAAAGACTTAATTGACAAAACTATAATGTTGGTTGGATCTAGAAACATTTGACAAGTTTAGAAACAAAATCAAGACAGGAATAGCCACCAGGTCTCAAAATTTCATCCTGCTGAACGTTGCTGCACTTCTACGGCCAGTTACAAAATTGGAATGCATCGCAAAACTACCTTGACAAGTCGAGATTTGGACAGATTCGAATAGGAGGTGCAAGGTTTTTTGTGCTCAATTTACATCAACCAACTCGACGTCAAATACCAGCCATGAATTCGGTGGAATGGTCCCACCGGCTCCTTTAGCTCCATAACTGTATTTAGAAAACAAGTACCGGTTATCCCCACATGAATACAAAGAAAATGGAAAATTTTATTCATCAGACATCCACTGCTTAACCGAGAAGTTCCCTGTCTACATAAAAGAAAATAATTTTGCACTAGCAGATTCATGTTATGTATGAAATTTCGACGATTTGTAACTCTGCTATTAGAAGCATGTTTGGCTTTGCTTAAAAGTTGTCTAGAAAGTGACCAAGTCTTAGTTTCTGGAAAAGTCGTTAGTCAAAAAGCTTTAAAATCATGTATAGTATTCGTATGGCACAGCTTAATCAAAAAATTATTTTTCCTCATTCCTCAAACTCATTTTCAATTACACATTCTCCAAATAAAATAATTTTGCACGTAGACCTATAAGTTTTCCCTACTTCTTAACCATACACTCCAAAATTATATTTTTTCACTTCAAAAGATCTCTCCCAAATGAACACTTGGTTAGACATGCTTCTAAACACAGCTGCACATGATCTAGAAGGTGTCAATTCCACAAAGAACATCACTAAATTTAATAGCACAAAGAAACTAATTGCATACCCCATGGCAGGTGGAATTTTGAGTCTCCTTTTGTCACCAATACGCATGCCTGACGATAAAATGAAGTGGATTAAATTATCAAAAATTATTTGCAAGCCATAAGATGTAAAATTTATAGGAATGAAGTATGTATTCTAGGGTTAAAGCAATTACCATTAACCCCAACATCCCAACCCTTGATAACTTGTCCTATACCTGTAAAAACAGAGTACAAGAATTAAGTTATAAACACAAGAAATTCAGGAATTTCTTCAAGCACCTGCTCAACACCACATACCCAAACGAAATTTGAAGGGTGTTCTGCCAATATTTGAGTCAAATATTTTGCCATTGTTCTTCAGCTTCCCAATGTAATGGACAGTAACCTGTGTAACAGCAAAAATTGTTTTGTACAAGTGCCAAAACATGTTCCAGATGATCTTAAGAAAGAAGTCAAACCACAGAAACATTGTCACATATACAGAATATTTGTGCCATAATTATAGTTCTTGCGATCAATAGTTTTCGATGCCAACCTGCAGCCATAAGTATACTGACGTAGAGAGTAGTATTTATATGAGAAGTAAAGATCTCAACACATTTTGAAGATACCATGGGGATTCCTTCTTTATTTGTCTCATATTTTTCTTTGGTTTCATGTTATAAAGTAACCCATAAAAGGAGCCATATTCACCTTTTTCCCAGGAGAAGCTCTTTTTCCATCCGGTTTACCCATGGCCAACTCCTCTATGACCAACCCATTTGGGTACGTCCTCACTTGCAATGGTTTTGCTTCTTGCTTCTCTTCCATCTCCAGAGTGGATCCATTTTTATCTTTTATGCTTTGATCTGCATTCCTGTTCGATGCAATCTCCTCTGTTTTGTTCTGTATATTTTTCTTCTTTTTTTCTTTCTTCCTGCAATGATTTTAAGGGATAAAATCAATAATAAAGATGAAATTTCAGTGTATGAATTATGCCAAAGCCTGATAACTAGGAAATAATAGTTTCCAAGGCATATGAAGAGCCATCAGACCTTCAAATGCCTACCGACACAGGGGGAGAGTCTAAATTGACTGATTATTTACAATATATTACTCTTTATTAAGTTGAAATGACATGCTATTTTGGATCAAAATCTTGGTCCACAAACAACAAACACAAAGATTTGCATCTGCAGCATTTAATTAAGAATACTTTAGCATTTTATAACTAAAAGACTAAATGTTGCAATATCAAAACTCACTTGTCACTTGTTGCCTTCAAATCATTTTCCATCTCAGCCACAGGCAGCTGCTCTGCATCGTTGGAATCTGCCAAGACAGTTTGCTGAGCCTCCTTTGTTGCCTTTTTCTTCTTATTCTTTTTCTTTGTTTTAGCATCATTTTGGGACACGTTATCAGTTGGGTCTGAAGAGCCATGTGGTGTGTCATTTTCCCTACTTACAAAGTTGGAACAGGACCCATTAAGAAGTGCTACAAATTTTAGATAACAGAGACTAAAACTAATCGCCTATAGGCAAACATAATACAGTACATGATACTTTTAAAGGAATAACAAATAAAAACCATCTTATTAGCGTTAAACAATCAATAACCAATTATTATAAATCCTAATTCTTCATCAGACGCAACAAGGAAAACTCATCCTACCTTGGATGTTCTGCATCTCGGCCAACTGCATCAATCTTTCTTTTCGATTTTTTGCTTGCTTCAGTTTTTGGTTTCTTTTTCAAGGCTTCCTCATCTGCATTATCATCTTTGATTTCTCTGCTAGCAGATACTGGAAACCCATCGTCATCTTCACTTTCCAAGACAGGAACATCATGCCCACCCTTGACCACAAGCTGCCTATCAGAATTCACGTTGTCATCAGACACATTTGACTGACTTTTCTTCTTTTTAGCTCGTTTAGACACACCATTCTCATTGACAGGCTTCTCATCATCCACTATTTCTTCAATTCTCACTTTTACGATAAACCAAAAATAATATTGAAGTAAATATTCAGAGATCGTGAAATGGGTAAGCCAGAGAAGTATTATGCAAATTTATCATGACATGGATAATGTAACATTAGATTTCCAGTTGTTCACTTCATGATATATGTTTGGTCAAAAATCTAC